TGTATGTATGTATATAAATGTACATATATATCCGGCTCCTACAAGTGTTAAAATAACTGTTTTTATTTTTTCTCTGGTTAAAATTATCATTATTCAGCATGGTCAGAAAAGGCTAATAGTTTTGCAGACATGCCCCATTTATCTTCACTGTAAATTAATCTAATGAGGGATTTAGCCTTCAGGCTATTCTCCAAACATAAAAAACATGCATTGTGATGTGCCACAGTAGCGAAGAAGCTAAACATACAAAGTCTCAATGCTTGGACTGGAAATCTGATCTGTGAGGCATATTTTGAGGGATTTATTTGAATAGCTTATCAGACCGGATGTGTCGCTGGAGCATTTCAGTTTGCACCAAGATTTGCCAGCATTAATTATTCAAACACCCCAGAGTTATTTTGTGACTACAGCAAGAGCAAGATGCTCACAGATGCAATTAATCATGTTAGAGAACACAGTTGCCTTTCTGAAAATATTTGTGCTCAAGCGAGAATATCCAGGATTTAGACTAATTATCAGCATAAATGGTTGTAATTTGACGGAAAACTCCCAAAGCTAAATCTACAAACGTGAGAAGATGACGACCTACTGGTATCACACAGCCATGATGACTGATACCCATATTTGGCCAGGGGGAACAGGAAGCTGTTTAGTATTCCACACACTCGTGAAGCATTGAAGAGGAAGACGGGGGAAGCTGTTTTTGGAAACACTGACATCACCAAGGAGGCATTCTGGGACTCTAAATTCACAACACGGGCTGCATTCACATTACTCTTGCTCTCTCATTCTCTCTCTAGCGGAACTTCTCCTGTTAAGGCAAGTGTTTCATCTATTTTTAGCTCATGGCTCCCTCTCTCTCCTCAGGCCGGCTGCGTTCCTGCATCAGTGCGTGGGCTGATTGCAGGCGGTGGGTGATGTGATATGCACAAGTGCTGCATTGAAGAATCACTGCACATCTCTTCACAGCAGGAGACTGTGAGTTATTCAGAGTTGAGGATGCGTTGAAGAGGAAGACAAAGGCACTTAATGAAATCCCACCATTATCCAGTATCCTGAGAGCAAAGCTCTTGCAATGATATAACGTAATTTCATACATTTTGATCACTTCCGCTCATTCCATTTTATAACTGCATGGTCGCTTCCTGAGATTTGACATCATTGTAGGTGCTAATCTAGTCCTGCTTACACTTGGTGTTCACATTCATCTCAGGTGATTCAATGTGTTCTGATGAATCACATTTGACATCTGGTTGTAACCATTTAACCAATCAGTTGACACCATTTTGTAAATCAAATAGTCAGTGGACTGCATGAATGACTAGTTGACTTATCATTCTTAAAGGGATATGTCAGGTACAAAAAGGTACAAAAAAAAGGTACAAAAATCCTGTATTTGCATTTTTTATTCAGCTTTCCTTTTTTTAAACACAGTCTCAACAGACAAATTCCATTCGAAAATTTAACAGATTTTTTTTTTGTTCTTAACTTTTGTTTTGTTTTTTGTTCTGGTATGATCAGGCAATAACACAACAAGTGCACACACACCTCAGGCACATGAACTGTTCTACCCATTAAGCTTCAGATCGTACATTATTAATGCATATGTGGCCTCTTTTGTGCAACATCCTTTAAAACCCTTCGGTTCATCTCAGAGACATGCTAACAAGTCCAAGAAGACAGGAACATCTTCACATGGGGCTGACTGTGACGGGCAAAAGTGTTTGACTGCGACTGATTTTAAATATTCATGGCCATCATCATGATGGTCTGAGGCCAGTGAAGCCTCTCATCCTCAGAACTAGCTTCCTTATAGCATACAATTATGCTAAAGCCAGAAATATGTCTGTATCAATTATTAACGCTGGGTTAAGACCTCACTTAAGAGATTTATTTAAGCGCGCAGCAATCGGTTGGGTCCACATGGCTGATGGTACAGTTCCCACGTGCTTAAACGCACGCACCCTCACCCACACACAAGTCTGCATGTGTATAAATTCATAACACAGACTCATTCTGCCTGTGGCCAAGTTGGATAAAAGTTTCCACTTCATGCCACTGATTTCTTGCTTTTCTTCAAAGCCTCTGAATCTAAATAACACTGACATTCAACATATACTTAAAGAACAGAGTCAGACCTGATCCTAACAAAAACCTGTCACTCAACCATGAACACACACACTTCTTTGTCTTGCTCATGCAAATCAATCATAGTACTCACTCTGAAAGCAACCAGATAAAGTATGTTTTGTGGTTATGACATGCATCTGGAGTGCTTTTGGGTCATGTGAAGGGAAAGACTCAGTCGATAAAATGTAAGACAAGAACGAGACTTCAGGGAAACATAGACACATGCACAAGCAACAAACTGTTAACAAATGTGAAGCACTGCTCATTAGATACTTAAAATATAGGGATGCACCGATATTTAATCTCTGGCTGATGTTTATGATTTGGCTGTATATCCAATATCTGCTGCTACTATAAATAATACATATTTGCAGATATTAGGCCAATATGGTGTCAACATATCATGCATCCCTAGTAAAAGCTGCATTATGATTCTGATGTAGTTCTCTCATGCTTGACATTCATTGTAAAAGAACAGGCGCAGACAGATGACATGAGCATTACTGGAACAGCTGTAAAAACATTAGGTAATCAATACATGCATGCACACACACATTAAATGCACTACTGAGAGAGGAGAGAGTATAATGATGTCTGACTTATGTAACACTTGAATACAAAACAACTGAACAGCAAAATAAATATTAGCACACAAACAACTACTTGTTTGGGTCACACCCACTTTATTTACAAAAACCCACTATTTTTGTATTAATTTATGTTTATTTCTTGTCACTGTCATAATAACATAAATCATTCCTGATATCTTCCACAATAGCAGTATAGTAAAATCTCTTTTGATGGACATATTCTAGTATCAGAGGGAATAAATGTCATACCACCCAGCCTTATTCATTTTGAAGATTAAAATATATATTTTCTGCATAATCGTGAAGGTACAAATAAAACAAACACAGACATGCTTTAATTTGACTAGTCTCTGGTGAAAAGACTGAGAGACTTAAATCCTCATAAAACTTTTCTCATTAAACTTTTCACAGATATTGCTGCTTTTTAACAATGCTGAGACAGCAGCGCTCTAAAAATAGCTCTCTTGCAGACTAAAACATAATCTCATATAAAGACTCCAGCTCCGCCTGGCTATACTGTTTTGATATTGAGAATGCTGAAAATCAGGCAACTAATCTCAAAAGTTGAATTCATTCAAATAATAGCCTTTTACTGATCAAATTAGAGCTCCATTGAAATTGTATTCAATGAGACACCAGCCAGTGAAATGAAAAGATGAATGCTCAGAAAACTTTTTCTGAGATTAATAATGTAAGTTTAACCAGCTTTCATGTCCTCTCTGTAAGCCTCTCCCCTCCAGTCCTCCTTTAAGAGAAAATATTTGCTGCTGCGACTGCTTTTAGAAACAGATTATGCTGTAGATTCAACAGCCAATCCCATCAAGAGTCTCACATTCCATTGAAGTCCGTCTGATTAGACTCAAACTATACCTTAAGTGAAGCACTGGACACACAACCGGACAACAAGACTTTGAGCACTGAGGCTCAAACTCAAACTATGGTCAATAAATTTCCCCTTGGAGATCAAAAAAACGTACCTAACCTGATGTAGATCAAATGAATTTCTGACTTGAATGCTCTTTTCAGCAAGATACAAACAGAATAGAACAACACTTCCTGGATAGGTAAATGGCATTGAGTTATTATTTGTATATTTTGACAAGTACTTGGTGCGCCCATTTTACTATTGGTTGCTATGGTGTTTACTTATCAGTTAGTCACTGCTACAGTAGCTACAAGGCACAGTCACTTATAAATAATGAACAAACAGCAACATTTATGAGGAAAGAAAAACATTATTGTGCTGTGACTGCAGATGTGTTCTTTGAATGTCATCTCAAAAAATGCTTGCACAAAATTTTTAATTGACATGTTGTGAAATCATTCATGGGGCATAATTCATACAAGGGCTGGAGGGAAAACAAATGATTTGCAGATGCTTTCTTAATGCATAAAATTCATAGTGGATTCAAACATTCATTTTAAATTAATAAATTGGAAAAAAAAAAACGTATGCAAAATAAAAATATAATAGATAATAAAATCCTGTGGTGTGCAAAAACTGCCACATTAAATTTAAATATTTCAAGAACATGACTAAAGCCATTTTATGTAGTAAAGGTGGGACATATGCCATCTGAAGCAGCATGTATGCTAAAAATACATCAACGTTTTAATATGATTTAAAGGTACAATTAATGCGTTTACACGAATCACAATTAAAAATTGATTGTTTGTTCTAATGCACAGCGGAATTACAAAGTTTATGGTTGTGAAACAGCAAAGCAAGCAACTATATTTTTTGCATATTTTACTGCAAAAGAATTGCACACCTAGACTGTACTGAAAATTTGAGCTGCGTCGAGAATTGTTTTCCAGTCTCATCACGACTCCCTAAATCTAAAGTCCTACAGATGAACGATTTTTCATAGAGAGACATGGAAATAAGATAACAGGATAGAATGAACACAATGCAACAAATCACCAATAAGCAAATGAATGAATCTGCAGAGTGTACATTTGTACAAAGATAGTGTGTGTTATATCCAAAGATACAGTCTTAAATATGCTGTACTATACTCATACATCCAAAGCCATTCACACTGGAACCATAACGTTATTTTCTTTTGCAATCCCCCTCCCAAACACAGGGGGCACTGCAGCTACAGTCTATAACTCACCAAGATCCTTAGAGCCGTGACTCTCGCTGGCCAGCTCTCCCATCCGCACCAGTGCGTCGAAGTAGCCTTTTGCTGCAAATGTCACACCTGGAAACATGGAAGCATTGGGGACATAAGAATCGGGAGTGTGCTAACGTGCTAACCCGAAGCTTCCCTCAACCCACAGGTGCCGCATATATGGAAAAAGGAGTGGTGGATGGGAAAGCTTTAAGCTCTATATGTTCTATGATGGCTCGGCCAGAGAACTGGGGGAGGTGGGGGTGGAGCTTGTGATTGGTGAGCGATGAATAGCAAAAGTACCATTACTTTAAAATAAAAAAAACAAAAGCTTGATACCCCACTAAACTTAGCATTCACATCAGATAGCACATTACTGAGAGCAATGGGACAGCTGTGGCTTTTCTGCATCACCAGGGCAGAGAAGGGCTGGCTCTCAATCAGGCTCTCTCGAAGCCAGAGGATCACGGAAGGTTAAGTGAGGCAGGACAGTGCTAAGAAGCACAATGAAATTTAGAACCAGAAGGTACTGAGCAAGTGGTTAGCGAAGGTTAGCATGCATAGCAGTAGAATAAGCCAATGTGACTTCATAATTTTAAAATCAAGTAACTGTTAAAATCAGGTAAGAATCCTACAGACTAACACAGCATATTTATTTTGATGCAAATGTAAAAAGTTGTGAGGGATAGAAGTACATCCAATTTGTTGTAATATCACATCCAATATTCAGATAATGTTTTTGAGGGGCTTGAAGTATGCAAACAAAGAATTTTGACTTTTAATTGTACAAAGTAACTCAAAGTTAAATATAAACAGGCCTTACTGAAAATCACAGACTTTTGAGAAAGAACTTAAAATAAATTAGCACATTTCACTAATAATATTAAATTCACTGTCATAGATTAAATCATTTAGGAGATTTTACATTATTCAGGTATGAATAAAAAAAATCCATTTAAAGATTCCATTTAAAAAAATCAAGCCCTAAAACTACTCAAAAATATTACGTTCTGTTCTGTTCCAATAATGGGCAATCCAGTAATTTTATTTTTACATTTTAGATTACTTTTGTCGCCATCTAACTTTGGCATTAATCAGTAAAAAACATTTATTTAATAACACTGTAAAACACTTTATCTTTAGCAAATCTCAAAATCAATATTCATTTTTTTATACTGTAACTGTACTTTACATTTTAAAACATTTGATTTCAGTGTTTTATTTTTAATTTATTTCGACAAAATAATGTAGCATTTAATATCAGCCATAAAATTAAAACCAGCTTATCTGTATCAGAGTTACACAATTCTGTACCAGAATTTTAATATTGGTGCATCCCTGTCTAATTCATTACACAGTGAAAGTATGCAAGCATTGCATTCTCAGCATTGCCACATGTACTTGTGTTGTAAGATCTGCTTCTGGCCTCTGATATTTTGAACGAACTGTTGTACTTCTATCCTTAACAGCCTTGTTGACATTCACATCAAATTCAATATGCCATACAACCATCCCAGTTCAACGCAGTGGGAGTGTTTGGGTGGAGGTGGTAAGGCTACACCAATGGCAGCCCAATTCCGTATGAATGTACAGACTTATTTGCTAGTGTCCGCACAAATCCCAGGCTCAGGATAAGGTGCGTCCTGGTTGTGAGGGATTAGAGGGGGAAATCTAGGGGCTTTGGTGCTCCAGCGGTTAGGCTGAGTGGTGAGGGGTAAAGGAACGAGAGAGGCAGCAGAAGGAAAGAGGATTACAGAGGTCTGAAAAATAGGATAGAAAGTCTCTCCAACCAACTCTTAGGAAACATTGATCAGCCACAGGAGACAATCCGAAGTTAAAAACCACAGAAAATTCCAATCTAGACCCAGTTATCACATGGCAATTTTGTATGTGATATTCTCTAGCTTAGTGCAGACAGAATCCTCCAATTTTAAGGTCTTTGGTCACTAATTATTCTTATTCTAATTTTTTTTAACCTCCTAACCCTTTCAATCCTTCATTTCTAAGAGTTCTCCAACACTTCCAAGAAAAAGGCAAAGGAGGACTTTAGGCTTAACAGCTGCTTATGCACAAGACATCTCAACATAATCATGTACTCTAGGGCATGCAAATGGACATCCAAAAATCTCAAGCTACTGTTGAACAATTGCAGCCAATGTTTTTTTTTTGTACTATGCCATTTTAATGATCTATTAATTTTACTATTGGATTCTTGCATTTGCCAAGCAGCCCAAAAACTTGTAAATGCCCAGTGGCCACCATCTGGACTAGTCATTAGTGGGTACTGTGGAGGGTTTCCACTCTGCTGCCTGCAAGACCTGGCATATTTACAACTCAAGCAAATCCCCTTGATAGATTCTGTGAACCTTCGTAGCTGCAGCCAAGGCTGATCTGCAAGGATGGGAGCACAAATCTCACTCAAGTTGGGTCTATTTTTAACCTTATCTATCAGACTTCACACTCTCGCACACATACACACACTCTCGCGGTCCACCCTCTAGAGCGTTGGTGTTTTTCTTGTATTTTCTGCCTCATAAAATATTAGATGAAGTCTGGAATGGTGAGGAAAGTGATTGGTTCTCTGCAGTACTTGGCACAGTGCAACTCTACAGAGATTCGATGCTCATCCTACAGCTTCTGCCCTGTCTATGGAGCTAAACTGAACACATGAAATCTGTATGCATTATACCCTGAGATCAGACAATGTGGCAGCATTATTTACCTGAATATAACGCAAATCCCATTGGTTTAGCATCTGTTTAAAAATGTAGAACACGCTAACAATGTGTACTAACCAGAAGCAATGCAATAAAAGGGACAAGTGATTTAAAAGTTCTTTCATATTAATCTGAATTTTCCTAACCAGCCACGATCACGACTTATCTGTTTTATCTGCTGTTGTTGTTGTTGTTTTTCTATTTCTACGGCCTCATGCCAAGTAAACCTCACCCAGACTGAAATCTCACTGGACCGAAATACTACTCCTCATACATATTAAACATCAAATATGGATGAGGAGAGTATGAGTAGTAGTAGTAAAAAAATATAGTAATTGGCTTTGGTTTGGTTTGGTTTGGTTTGGTTGTTTGGTTTTCGTTTTCGGTATACACAGATAAACTGCTTGTCGTCTTGATGCGTCGCACCTGGTTAGAATTTGTCATGGAAAGCAGTTTTTTCAATAGTGTTACATGTTAAAAATGAGACATTGTTAGTAAATTATTATTCTCAGAATAAAGCATTGTGGAAGAAAGAGGCGATGCAGAAAAGGACGTTTAATCGTTGCTCTGAACACCAGATACCTGTGCTACCTAGTGTTGTTTTTGCCATACTTTGTCCTCCTTGTAGTGACGTATCATTCTTGTCCTCAATATACATCTTTCATGTTCCCTTTTTCGCTCCCTCCGTGGGACTGTGTCTGCTCCCAAAGCTCTCTCTGGCCTATTTACGCCTGTCCTCTGTTCCATTTTACTCTCCCTTTCTCCCAGTGCATATTTTTGCTCAGAAACGTCTACGTCTTTGTCCTTGCCCAGTCAACGTCTCAAAAAAACACACATGAAGGTCCGCACATATAACAGAAATACATCATCGAATTGTCATTGGTTACACATATGTGACAGCTCTGGAGATGCAACATGCATGAACCAAATGGATGTTTAGGGGGTTTCAGGGTGCAAATGGGTTTAGACATGTAACATTCTATGACATCATCACTACGAGGGAACAGGAAGTCTTCCGCCCCACAAACAAAAACATTAATTCTTAACAAACATTCAACAAACATTTAAACAACATTCTACTAGAGTTCTATGCAAGAATTTGAGTTTTTATATTAGCAATAACAAATCCCAAATGCTATTCAGAAAGGTGTATGCGAACAAGGAGTGGTGCTCTCTGTAGCCATGAATTTCAAGCAGAATCTTCTCATAAATTAAAGCAGACCAATGAAACAAGAGCTTGAATAGCTGGCTCATTGCCTGCAAGAGTGATAAAGAACAAACCACTGATGTACTCACTGGAGAGGGCCTTCTCGTAAGTCTTCCCCATGGCGACAAAGTTCCTTAAGCAAGGGTTGAACTGCTCCATGATGGACTGAAACAGAAATAGCACAGCTTTAGTCAGCACAACAGCAGCAGTCACCATTTAGCAGTCATTCTCGCCACTACCAAGAACACCAATGGGACAAACACAATGGCAAGTCACATCTCATAAGGATGCAGAAAATTAAACATCTGTTTCTAAGTCTACATTACAATAAAGTGTCTGTCTGTTGGGGATAAGTTTGGATATGAAGATGCAGTACAGTGCAGATACCAAGTAAAGATGGGTAGAGAGAGAAAGAGCGAGCCAGACTTTTCTCACGCCCCCACTTTTCAGGACACTCTCATTAGTGAGACTTGGAGGGCATCGTGCCAGTTGGGATTTGTCGTTCCTTTGTTGCTGGTGGGCACAGAATTGTGGGAGTATGTGGAGATCTACCCACAGCCTGACTCACCTAATCCAAAATTAAGAGTTGCCCTTTAAAATCTATTCATTTCTGCTGAAACTCCTCATTGAGGAGACCTCTTCTTATTCTCAAAAGAGCTTTGCTGGTCCATTCAGAGTTAAATCTCTTGCTTTATCGCGACCTGACAAATTTGTTCTGAGAACATTTTCCCCAGAGTCACATTGTTCCTGTTTCTACAGGCTTTATCACGGCTTTGAAAATAACAGGGCAGCATATAAAAGGACTGAGGAAGGGTTCAATAAGAGTATACCAGAAGACAAGACAGTTATGAAGAACAGAGGATGTACAAAAAAAAAAACAGCAATAAAGCACTGTACAATACAAATACTGTGGCAGCTGTTGAGAGAATGAAGCTATATGAATGAAAGCCTCCACTCTAGGTTTAACAGAATTGGAGTGAAGTTGTTTATGTACTCAATTAAGGTCGACAGTAAACTGATTGCTTGGGAATATCCCAAATCCCCCACCACCCTGTGCTCCAGTTACAATGAAAGCAGGTTTCCCGTGAAAATGAGGACAAAGACAGACTGCTTCAATCTGTTGCTGCAATGCTAACTGTGATTCAGATATCTTCAGAAACTATGCCAAATAAAATAAAAATAAAAAAATAATAATAATAAATTAACCTTAAGGAACATGCAATTAATAGATTTCTTTTTATTTGAAATGTTTTTATTTGCCAATATGAAATTATAATATATTATATCTTATAAAATATTTTGTCAGCTTTCACTGTCACGTCTTATCTAACAACATCTCAACTCACAATTATTTCTTATGTAATTCATCATCTGCTGCATGCAATCATACAGCAGAGTCTGTCCAGTGGTACTAATCTTCAGTATAAAATCAAGAAAAAAGAAAATGCAGACCAACCAAGAAAAACCAGCAGAATATATGAGAAGGAAATAGAGGCACAGGAGAAAGTCATGGTTGGGTGCAAACAAACACAGCTGGCATGTTTTCATCAAGGAAGGATTTACACAAACATAGTGTGATAGATCTCACTGCACCACATTCCTCTGAGATGAAAGCACATGATCGCATTCATGAGGTGAAATATACAACTGGTATTCATGTAACATCCAGGGTGCTTTTTGCATGTCAGGTTTTGGCAAAACATAATGCTGAAGTGTATAATTTCTGCACATTTTAATGTCCACTAATGTCCCACTTAAGTGCTGTGGTTAAACATGAGCAGAACAAAAATGAACAGAATGCAATGCACTGCAAACCTTGAAATCTCATCCATTCTATATGTACCTGGGAAAGATTAAAAATGACTAAGCCAATAAATTTAACCAAACTATTTTCCTCTCCACAACAGTTTCCAGAGAGCTCAGAAATCAGCATTATGAACCAGTGCCAAGCTGATGTCCACCCAACATCTAATCATTAAAAGCATTAAAAACACTCCACTGGGAAAACTCTCTTTCCTTGATTAGTCCCACAGCAATCAATCTATGTTTAACAAGCATGAACGAGAGCAACCAAACCCCCGATTAGGTGTCATTTCCTTCTCAATGTGGCTCTGCCAGACACTAAACACAGACCATGTAATTTTTCAGCTAACGCTGAATTAAATAACTAATGAGCAAGATTTCATATTGATGCATATTCTATCAGCGGGACCTCATTCAAAAACAGCTGGGGGAAATGAAGGTGCGCTCACATATTACAGTATCAAGTACAGCACTAAATATGAATGGTTTTATTAGATAATGCAGACAGTCACTGAAGGAAATGTATAATTTTCCCTTTTTATACAATAGTGCAGAGGACCAAATGAAGCACCATTTCCACAACGGATATCCAACCACATCAGCAAGAAATAATCAGCCAAAAAGGTTCAGTGCATCAATTCTATTGCAACTTTTATTTAACTTTACCCTTAGAATGCCTTTATAAACCGAGTTTAATAAAAGAATAAGGAGCATTTGAGAATATGAATGAGTCATCGTTCAGATTTTCTGTATGCACATGAACACAGTTTGGCTTTGTCATGGTAAAACATTGAGAAATGGGAGAACGGTTAGTATTTGTTGAACTAGCAGGGTTGTAAACATGCCTCATTTACCACAAACACACCCTTATGCATCAACACCTACCTTGATGCTATATAAACCTGCTACAACACAAACCTGTGATGTGAAACTAATGCAGCTGCAGTCTCAGACAGCTTGGAAAAGACTGATGAATGTAATCAACTCTTGCGTCTGTGTGTGTCAGTCCAATAACAATCTATGCTTCAATGTCAGGTAGTTACACAAAAGTGCATCTTTATGTCTTCAATATACATAGTAAAACATGGTTAAAGCAGTCGTGTGGCCACTGATGTAAGCTGTAGTCTGGTTAAGACTTCCTGCTGTTCAGCGTTATGTAATGCTCTTGAGTCTTACAGCTTCAGGACAACTGAGTAGGGAAATGGATAATGATGATGTGTATTAATCAGTGTGTCTGAGTATGTATTTGAACCCAAATACCAGGGTTAATTTTCAGCGGCTAACCTTCTGTTCAAAGCATTGCATTGCACTGTCAATTAATTTGATTATTCAATGCTGGAAATTACCTAAAAATCTATTCTGAAATTAATAAACTTATTAGAATGATATACAGTGGGCCTTTGGAAACTTTTGGACACTTACATCACACTGTATGAATGTCAGTGCATGACTTTCAAACACAGCTTAAAACCACACTATAATTCCAAAGATACAAATTTGCAACTTTATGCCATTATTCTGCAAGTTTATAGAGAACAACAAACTAAACATGGGCATGAAGTTTCACTCGCTACAAGCTCAAGGTGACCCTGACTTTAAATACTGTATGTATTTTTCTAGCTAGACACGCTTTTGTTTGTATAGAAAGACCCCTTGCACCCTGAAACACTGTAATTTACATATTGTAAGATCATCTACAGGTGCATCTCAATAAATTAGAATGTCATGGAAAAGTTCATTTATTTCAGTAATTCAACTCAAATTGTGAAACTCGTGTATTAAATAAATTCAATGCACACAGACTGAAGTAGTTTATGGCCCAATCCCAATTCTACCCCTTAGCCCTTCCCCTTTCCCCTACCCCTCCGTTTCGCACGTTCACGTGAAGGGGTAGGGGTGTCTCGATTCTCTTTTGGTTGGAGGGGTAGGGGTAAGGGGAAGGGCCAGACAGCCCTTCAAAAGAAGATTTTTCGGGACCACACTTTAAACGAAGGGGAATTAATTATCTCAGCGTAAACAGGCTTCAGGGGCAACATGGATGCCCGAGCGAACAAAAAGACAAATAAATGTAAGCATTTTTGGCATTAATAAAGATTTTAACGAAAAGTAATCATTTGTTTTATGTTACATTCAATCGTGAGTTCATATTTACGGTCATGTTACTCAAAGAAATGTTTGCAAAAAATCGCTAATATTTGCTAAC